ATATATATATATATATATATATATATATATATATATATATATATATACTCTTATTTACTTTCATAACTTCTAAGGAATAAATCTAGATTATTTTTATAGGGAAGTATGAAATCGAGTTTCCATGAAATAAAAATAGAGCACAAGTTGGATGTTTTCATCTCCATAGTGAAAGAAATATTAATTCTTTCTTTTACTGTTTACTAGTAATAGCAATGTTTTGGATTTAGGCCTACAGCAGGTAGTAAATAAGTGACCGATTATGCAGGTATTCAGCGCGGAATTTTTATTTTATTATTATTATATTATCGACACTGCTATTTTGGGAACGATTCCCTCTTCAAATTCTAGAAATTACTCGCCACCTAACGAATATTTTTTTATAAAGCACGTGTATCTTTATTTGAGAAATTACTCACCATCTAGCGAATACCTTTATAAAGCACGTGTATCTTTATTTGAGAAATTACTCACCATCTAGCGAATACCTTTATAAAGCACATGTATCTTTATTTGAGAAATTACTCGCCACCTAGCGAACATTTTTATAAAGCACGTGTATCTTTATAATTGATTGATACTAGGTGAAAATAGTAGTCAGGTGTGAACCTGTTTACTATAAAAATACCAAACATTCATGGTACCAGAAGAAATACTAAATAATTCACATTGCTTTAAAAAACAAATAAGAAAATGTAGAACTAAACGCATTATCATATTAGTGACATAGTATATCTATATTTCTTTGTTTTGTGCGTTTATTTTAGAAAACGGAATTTGTATTTTGTTTTTATGACAAACCTTACTATTTCCGTACATATTTACATATGGGGGGGACTTTACAAAAATTACGTTTAATTGGTGTGAGTGGGGGCGGGGGGGATATTACAAAAATTGCATATAATCGATATTTGTATTCCATAATGTTTCTTCTGATATTTGTTGTATTGTTTAATTTAACCAGTATATTTCGTATCTCGTGAAAAAAACATTTCATCCAGTATTTTCGTATTGTTTAGCTTGACCAGAATATGATTACCTGATGGAATAAATGTTTCATTCAACACAAAGAATACTATCCATCAGCTAGACATATTCTGGTTAAACTAAATTTCTGGTTAAACTAAATAACACAAAGAATACTGAATGAAACGTTTCTATGTCTAGCTGATGGATGAAACGTTTCATTCAGTATTATTCGTGTTATTTAGTTTAACAAGAAGATGTCCAGGTGATTAATGAAATATCGTAAATTAAATTCAACTAAGTTATTCTGTCTTCTCACTAGAATCTATTATGGTGATTATTTTGTATTGAGAAGTTCTTGAGCTGGTAACTTTGAGACAGAAGTTCTCATTATGCGTTAGTGCTAGAACTCTGGATTTCGGAGGTGGCGAGATGGATCGAACACGTGCGATGTCACAAAGTATTCCTGACGCTTTAAGGGTGATGGTGGGTAGTAGGGCGGTGCTGACTGGCTGCTGTCCCTTTGGTCAGTAGGGAAATAAAGTGGGACAATTTTAGTAGATTTGCCATAAATACAAAATACTGTTTTCTACAATAGTAAAAGAAGTGTTGAACAAACACCAACAGAAAACAAAGGTTTGTCTTTTTTTTTTCTTGTGTTTTCAAAAGGTTAGATCTTGATAAGTAACACTTATGAAAAGTGTTAATATATGTGTCTAATATTCACATATTTGAAACTTGTAGTCACTAAAGTATAAGGTTTGAAGAGTTTTATCACTTTTAGTGACATTAACACAGACAAAGTACATAGTTGCATATGTGTTCTATGTTTAGTCTTCTGGGTGTAAGTGGAATAAGTGAAATGTTATCAAATAAATATAGAACATTCCAATTCAGTTTATTAATTAAACAACAGCTGGCATAAGGGTATAAATAAAATATCATAATGCCATTCGATACCTCTTTCTGATTAAAGAGGTTCTCTTATGTTTTCCTATGTTCTAGTGTACGATTTTGTGTTTGATGGATCACTTGAAGCAAGTGGCCAGTTATAGTGAAAGAAACAAGATGACCTCCCAGAACTTAGCAGTTTGCTTTGGCCCAGTTGTCATGTGTCACACAATGCCGAGAGAAAGAAGTGACGATTTGCAGAAACCTATCGACGTGCTACGATATCTTCTGGATACCTGGCCTGTCCATAGAGGTCTGTACTTATGTGATTATTTCGGGGAGAAACTCAAATAAAACTGAAAAAAAAAATTCGTAAGTTATTCATCATCGTGTGCGCATCAGGTCACGTGTTCAAAAAGTTTAACAACAAATCTCTAAGTCAACCAAACCACATTTCAACCCCAGGAGGCGCACACCGGTATTTCAGTAATTCTCTTGCAAATTGTATTGACTATATACTGTGCTATGAAGAATACAACAGCGTTCGTCAACCCAGAAATTGAAAAGAACTGGAGGAGATACAAATATTTTCTTTTTTTGGTAGATGGATATATATATATATATTTTACCAAAAATCATTGAGAACTGTAACAACAATCAGCAGATTACCTGTCAAGATTCCAAATTATCTCGGAGGTAAGACGTAAGAAGCATCAGACTCGAAACTTACTTGCAAATGGGGGGTCTTACACGGCCTGATGGGATCGGATCCCGTCGTCGAATATACTTGATCTTTCAGCTATGTGGACGTTATAATATCACGGCTAATCCCACTACTTGTTGTTAGAGTAGCCCAAGAGTTGACATGGGTTATGCTGATTGTTTTCTCTCTAGTCTATCACTTCAAAATTGGGCACATACAGCGCAGACAGTTCTCGAGAAGCTTTGCGCGAAATTCAACAAACGCATAAACAATAACTACAAATTAACTGAAGGTACCAAAGCGCTTTACGTGCTACCAGTGCACTAGATATGGATGCAGTCATGACATAACACCACTGGAGGAGAAAGCAAGCCGGATGCAGTCATGACATAACACCACTGGAGGAGAAAGCAAGCCGGGTGCAGTCATGACATAATACCACTGGAGGAGAAAGCAAGCCCGATGTGGTCATGACATAACACCACTGGAGGAGAAAGCAAGCCGGATGCAGTCATGACATAACACCACTGGAGGAGAAAGCAAGCCGGGTGCAGTCATGACATAACACCACTGGAGGAGAAAGCAAGCCAGGTGCAGTCATGACATAATACCACTGGAGGAGAAAGCAAGCCCGATGCGGTCATGACATAACACCACTGGAGGAGAAAGCAAGCCGGATGCGGTCATGACATAACACCACTGGAGGAGAAAGCAAGGCAGAAAGTTAGCCGCAAAAAAGGCCAGCGAAGAACTTACATTGGTACTAATAAAATGCCAAACGGCTGAAGGAAAACACCACAGACCGAGTGTGTTCACAGAATCGTTGGAAGATGTGGACGGCTGTGGCCATAGCAGTGAGGTTTGCTTGCTCTGGGAAAACAGAAAACACTACTTCCACCACGCCCATAGAAACCACAACGAAAGGCTCCCCAGATCCCTATATTTTATTCCACCCTTTCTGGATTTCCAGATCTTATGTGGACCCTGTATTGTGACTAAAAATTACATAAGTGGTTCGGTTGACTTAGAGACATTTGTTATGGAATTAGCATTTAATAATAAAGTTGAATAAGTGAGAGAATCAGATAATGGACTTCCGTAATAATAATAATAAATGTACTTTCGTTTGCAAAACTGCTTGGCCTGTATGATAATAAGATCTTGCCGTGAAAACAACTAGATGCAGTTTTATTTTTTATGAATAATATCAGGTTAAATTTTCAGTTATCGTTAAAAACTGAATATCTAGATACTTTATTCTTACCGTAGTCCAAGGTTCGAGCCCACGTTATGTTGGAGAACACACTCCATCATTTAGCTCTGGGTACGTTATAAAAGCCGTTTAGGTTGCAAATACAAGTCAGTATACTAACAGTGTAATAAATTTGTGGGGCGTGGGGTTGGTCATTGTGGTAGAGCTCTGGATATCGGAGCTGGCGAGTTGGGTTCTAATCTATGCGATAACACAAAACTTTATCCCGCAATTTAAGCTGTGGGTATATTATAATAGTGACAATCAATCTGTTAGCATGCTGCTGACTGCTTTCTCTCACAGTTGCTCACAACAGTCGACGGCGAAAGATAAGTCTTATTCATTGCTTTGATATAAATACAAAATGCACATTCAGAAAATTTATGTAATTAGCGTCAGAAAAAAATTTTTTAGTTAACTTAACATTTGTACTAACTCAATAAATCTGGCAGAAGCCTCAATAAAATGCAAATTTTACAACTCAAAACTATATTTCACGGTTGTTCTAAATTAGCAAAGTTTTTCATCTCCATCTATCCTTAGAAAAGAGCGTTACAAGTTAAAATTAAGTAAGTTTTCTTAATAGTAGTTAAATTGTTTTTTTTAAACTTAAAGTTGGAAGTAACCACGTTAATAAGTCTGAAGCGGGACCACAGAACAACTGAAAACCTTTTTTATTCTTGTCTGGTAATTGTGCCATTAAATATATTTTCACTAGACGCTTTAGGGTAGAATAATGATAATTTCTTGATCTGATCTTGGGAGACGAAATAAAAGAAAACAGCACCCCCCCTCTCCTTGTTTGGAAATTTAAAACACGACGTGTAGTTGCTATATAATTAAATATAATCCAACTCAGTATCCTGTTTTTGGCAAACGGTGTACTGGTAAACAAATTAATGTCATCTCTTGGCCTATATTTGTAGGATATTTTCATAGCTATCTCAAAAGCATTGAGTAATCACTTTTTTAATCGTAACTCCTGACACGTTAAATCATCGTTTGTTTCCAATGTTAATTTTAGAGCCTTGAATTATTCTTTTGTTTTTATCCATAACTCCGAATTCGTGAATGACCCGTTTTTTATTTATAATCCCAAATCCTCGAACAATCCTTTGGTTTATAATTTTTAATTGTAATCCCGAGGCTTTGAATGATTTTTTTTTATTTGTAACCCCGAAGCTTGAATGATCTTTTGGTTTTCCATGAGATGTCGCCACATTGCTTCTTGGCCCAAAGAACTGACGAAAACAAATTATTTTCTTACTGAGCTAAAGTTAACCTCTTCGGGTACTGCTGGTAAGAAATGTTTTTATCTCTTTATACAAGTACAAAACCTATACGTTACTTTGTTTGTTTGACATCGTATTCATTGATCATTCTGAAACACTCACAGTGGGTCAACGGTAAGTTCCGCACTTAAATTTTAAAATCCGGGGTCCGATTCCCCGTTGTGGACAGAGCGCAGATAGTCCATTGTTTAACTTCACGCTAAAATAACAATGTTCTGAAATACGTACTTGATTACATATTAATATTTGACAAATAAATCAAGGTCTTTTTGTAATACTCATGCAAAGCTACTCCAGGACCATCTGCACTCGCCGTCCTTAATTTTGAAGTGGTAGACTAGAGGGAAGGAAGTTGGTCAACAACATCCATTGGGCTGTTCTAATAGCATAGTGGGATATGACTGTTATTCTTATAACATACTCATAGCTCCCAAGTACGTAGCGTGATTTCTTTCTTTTAGTAATAATGGGACACGAACCATGAAAGTTCAGATCCAAAGTCCGACACACTAGCCACTGGGTCACGCTCTGACCTTTTGTATTACTAAAACGTAGATAGGAATCTTGTCTTATAATGCATCACCTATTTTATTAATTACCATTGGCCCGTTTAAATGTTAGAGGATGAGTCACTTCTTGTCTGCCAACCAAATCACCCAACAAAAGCAATTTGACTAAACTTAAGAAACGTACTTCAACAATCCACTAACACGAAACATCTGAAGTTGGTTATACATAGTAGTTATATGAAATATGTTAATATCTGGCAGATAACAAGAAATCAGGTTAACAACAATAATCCGTAAAATTCTAGAATAACAAAAGCCAGAATTCACTTGTAGTTCGTGTTTCATTGTTGTTCTAGGCCATGACAACCAGGGGTTTTCCCCCATTGTCGTATTCATATATATCATGAGGTGACTGCACAACTTTTGTGCCATTATAATTTTGGCTTTTAATATTTATAGACGTTCGGTTTGACGATGATAGTAACTCTTTTAACAATTTCTTTGCTGGGAGGCTAGGTACTGATGTCATAAACTAACTCCATATTAGGGCGTGAGTTACAGTTTTATAGTAAAACCCCTGCTCCCCAGTGGGCTTATAACGCTAAAAATCGGGTTTCGATACCCATGGTGAGTACAATACAGATAGCCCATTGTGTAACTTTGGGTTTAACTATAAAAATAAAACAAAAACAAGTATAATCCCCCTGGTGGTACATTCCATGGAAGTAACTGTGCCTACATTTGTTGTCGGATTAAAGATACAACTAACCCGATATCCTGAGCATCTTTGGAAGGTCCAAGGTACGAGCCGCAATGTTTTGCTGTACACCTACACACTTTCAGCTGCCTTATAGCCGTAACAGTAAATCCTTTAATAATCCTTATCGTCTGAATCTAGGAGATTTTGTTGCCGTTCTGGTTGAAAATATTGTCTCTATCCAGATTTTTTGTGTGTGTGTATATATCAAAAAAGCTTACGACGACTTTATATAAAAAAAAATGTTTTAATTTCCAGGAATTGTTTAGTTCTCTGACGAATACACAAGTTAATTTATTTTATCATTTGATGTTGAACTTGAAATAAAGTAACAGTATTAAATTATTTGTTATCTGTTTTGTCACCAGGGGAGGGAAGCAGCGATTCAAGCACAAGTGGAAAAAACAGTCAAACTCCCGTAGAAGACAATGGTGGTAATGATAACGGAAGAACGACATCACAGAAGACAGTAGAGTGGTCAGTTGGTCACTGAGTTTTACCAGACTGCGTGTTAGCCGTACTACAACAATAACTGCGTGCCATAGTTTTAACTACGGCATGGCCAAGCCAAAGACAAATTATGAGAAAACTGCCTCAATTAATTTTTGGAGGGTTTTATTTTATTTCTACACTGTATCTTTCTAATACAGCAAGTTATAGTTCCGTTATTTGTTGTAAGTCCCAAATAAATAGAAATTATGTAATAATACATCGTTTAAATGTGATTAGCCCTCCTCAAATTAGAATGCAAAAGTTAATAATAATCACCAGGTGGCGCTTTAACCATCTACTCCTTACATGTTGTCCTCCCCTTTGTTAACATGGGATGTTCCTAATTCCGCTCGTGGAAATCCAAGTATTGTTGTTTTGCTAGTTGATTGTTTGCAACACCCGACGAAAGAGCAATTACATATTGTTATTTTTCTTGTAAAGTTGTTATGTCGACAACGGACTTGTTACACAGAGATTACTGTCCGTCTATCCCTTGTTTTTAATAAACGATTTATCCTCTTAAAGTCTGGGCTTGGTTTTTCTAGTCACTTTCATACATAATAAAAGATTTGTTTGTTTGATTTCGCGCGCTGTAGCATCCTGAAATTTGATGTGATTCTCTAGAGGGAAGGCAGCTAGTTAACACCACCCACTCTTTTCAAACTGGTTCAAATTAGATGTTTGTGAAAGTCTATAGTTTCGAACGAATTAAAAACTCAAATTACCGATATTGACAAGCAAGAATATAAAATAAGAACATCTTATCTTTTCTATTTGCTAAGATATTGCTCATGTAATAAATCAAGCACAATGGCACCCCACCCACCTCTTTCCATTCTTGGAATCGCTCCATTATATACACTTACTTTTATATATGACAAGAATAACCAATTGGAAGCTCAGAATGTCCCCCTAGTGGCTTTCTCAGCCATTTTAACAGTCTTGACGCCATTTCTTTCTTTGAAACCAATATTTCAACGAGGTAGGGTGTGTCATTTGTCTGCTCGAAATTTCATATTTTTTTAGACTAAAATATATATTAGTTACTAAGCTTGATAAATTATAGTAGAAGTATATGGTATTAATGTAGTAATTTATGATTTTTTAGTTATTCAAATTTATATATAGCACCTAAAAAAATTATTTTGTTTCATATCCTCCAAGTGCAAAATTTTAAAGGCTTAGCAACCGAGTACAAAGATGGTAACTAGAAGAAATAATTGTTTGCTTTACTTCTTTATTTACTGTTCTATGTTTTAGGAATAATAACTTTAAGATCAAATTTTGAAAATAGAAATAATCTATATGCATATATAATGTATAATAATTGAAATGTGACTGTATTTTACAAAATTCTAATCCACTAAAACACAGTCAAGACAAGTTACTTTGTACAGACCAAAGGTCAGTTTTATGTTTTTTGATACAGTAACATGAGTGCACGTGAATCTCGTTATTGTAGCTTCTGTATTGTTAGCCAGGCACGGGTGAACGGACAATATAATAAAAATATATAAATGTTATGAGATTTAATCTATTTTGTCTAAACCTTTATGTTTTGTGTTCATTTCCTCATTTTTTATGGTGATTGCAAGATTGGTCAAATCTACCAAACCGATACAGAGATTAATTACTGAAAATAACGTTTGATAACTATCCAGATATTACAAAGATTTTGCATATGAAATTTCAAAAATTTCTAATGCATAACAGTATTTTTAATCTTAAAATGAAAATTACTTTGTGTGATAGATAGGCAAGATGTGAAAAGAAAAAACAGGCATGAGAAACACTGCTTTACAAACCTTAAGACTTAATAAAAAATTAGTTATTTTGCATATGCCAGCATTGTAATGTTTACTGATAATCTGCCCAATTTCGTTGATTTTTGCTTACTAATTTAAAAGTTATAGCATGACAACTATAACAAGCACAAAATGGTTATTATGTCATCACATTGACTGACCCCGTATTGAAAGAGTTAAACAACTTGAAAAGATAGACTTTATCTTCAATTTTCTTTTTATACAAAAAAGCATCCACTCACTAAAGTTGAATCCTAACAAATGAAAAGTAATACAATAAACTGACTATACACACAATTATCTCTCTCTGTTTGGCTTTGGTCTACTACTACCTCTTCCAGAACCACCACCACCACCACGTGGTGGACCTCCACTGCCACCACCTCTTCCTCCTCCTCGTGCACCAAAGGCACCTGAAAAAATAAATTGATATTTATGTATTAGTGCTACTACTGACAGATTATGATTAGAGTGTTGAGCCTTTTTTTAAAAGCTCAACCATAGAATGCATGTGAAACATACAACATGGACTTGTAAAGCTTGTTTGGATAATATCACTTAGCTATGCTGATACAGCTAAAAAGCACAATTGTTAACTGGCAATAGGATTAAGATAATACATTATACACTACCATATTTGATGAAAACCCAAATACTGATTCTAACAGAAACAAGCATTATTTTACTCTGACAGAGTAAAAAAATGCAGTCAGTAATAACTCCTACATCAGCCCATTAATTTAATGTATGCCAGCAATAAACTGCATGTGCTATTTTTCAAATCAAAATCTACTATAAAGGTTAGCATTTTAATTGTTTTTGTTAAATAAACATATCACAATGCAATCTTAGCAAAATTTCAAAGCTACAAATTCATATAAAAATATTTATAAACCTTCAGACTTACCTATGAGCCACTGGGACAAAAAAACATTGATACATATTGTGTAGAAGAATTGAATATTTTCAGAAATTTAAGTTTAAACACATTATTACTTTTAGGAAGAATATTCCACTTCTCTTACCTCTGCCACCACCTCTACCCCTTTGGCCAGCCCCTCCTCCTCTTCTAGCATCACCTCGTCCCCTACCCTTTGCTAATACTTCATCCTTCACCATGTCGATCACTTCATCTGGTATTCTTAAGTACTTGATGGTACTGCCTCTGATGTAACATTCCGGCATCCTCCAAAACTTATCACCGTCCTGAAACAAGAAACTTTCATCTTACTTCAGATTTACCTACTAGTTAATATTGTTCTAAACATGAATCAGACCGAGCTGAGAATGTTATAATGCGGAACATTAAAATGATCTGATTTGTTACTGCTATATACATCAACTACAAGTGGGAAACACTATAAAATAAAACCTTAGCAGTAGTCTTGTTAATAGGTATTATTAAATATAATTATGATTCTATATAGACAATGTCACATTCAAATCTATCTTAAGAATTCTTGAGGCTCTGTGTATTAACTCCCTTCATTACACCTACTGTAGAAGAATCCTAAGCCCAACAACAACATAGTATATATTTACACTACTAAGACGTATAAATAAAAGCCTTTTATTTTGACAATTGGCAAAGATCAGATTTTAAAATTTTGACATCCGGAAAACACTCCAAAATAAAATGGAAATATCAGAGAACTCAGGATATATATACAACTTCCCAAGTGATGATGTAGTAACTGTCCACTGAGCAAGATCTTGAATGCCAAACTTGGTCAACATTTTTGTAACCTACAACATGAAGGAAAGAAACCAAGTGGTTGCAAAGAAAAGAAACAAAGATAATTTATTACTGACGTGCAAGGTAGATAAACCTACTTATTACTAATGTGAAAACATATAAAGCTGATGGTAAATGAAGTATAAACTGAAGCATATTTTTGAGAGTAACTCAAAGAAAAATAAGACTAGGGAGAACATAGAAATATGGTGTATTGTTTATATTTTGTATAAAGAAATGATTTATTTTCAAATTATGAAAACAACAGACCAATTTGATTTGTTAAGAAATAAAGTATAATTCAATTGGGATAGATCTGTCACTGGCTTTTTTGAAAAGCTTTGCTATGTTGAGGAGGACATAAAAAAATCAGTAAATATAGTATAAATATATAAAACAATCTCCATAGTAGGCTAAGATAACACACAAAGTTAGACTGAAGTCTGATATAATGTTTAGATTATCAAAAAAGAAAAATGTATGTGATTTCTATTCACTACATGTGTTCACATTAACCTAGAACTCAGACTCATTTCTTTCTGTGTTAATAATAACTGTCTCTTACAGACACGTACCTAACTAACAGTTTGGTAATAACTGTCTCTTGCAGACATGTACTTGACTAAGGTTTAATAATAACTGTCTCTTACAGACATGTACTTGACTAAGGTTTAGTAATAACTGTCTCTTACAGACATGTACCTAACTAACGGTTTGGTAATAACTGTCTCTTACAGACATGTACTTGACTAAGGTTAGTAATAACTGTCTCTTACAGACATGTACCTAACTAACGGTTTGGTAATAACTGTCTCTTACAGACATGTACCTAACTAACGGTTCAGTACTAACTGTTTCTTACAGACACGTACTTGACTAAGGTTAGTAATAACTGTCTCTTACAGACATGTACCTAACTAATGGTTTGATAATAACTGTCTCTTGCAGACATGTACTTGACTAAGGTTTAGTAATAACTGTCTCTTACAAACATGTACCTAACTATCAGTTTATTAATAACTGTCTCTAACAGACATGTACCTAACTAACGGTTTAGTAATAATTGTCTCTTACAGACATGTACCTAACTAACGGTTTGGTAATAACTGTCCCTTACGAACATGTACTTGACTAACGGTTTGGTAATAACTGTCTCTTGCAGACATGTTCCTAACTAACGGTTCGGTAATAACTGTCTCTTACAGACATGTACCTAATTAACGGTTTAGTAATAACTGTCTCTTACAGACATGTACCTAACTAACGGTTTAGTAATAACTGTCTCTTACAGACATGTACCTAACGGTTTAGTAATAACTGTCTCTTACAGACATGTACCTAACTAACAGTTCAGTAATAACTGTCTCTTACAGACATGTACCTAACTAACGGTTTAGTAATAACTGTCTCTTACAGACATGTACCTAACTAACGGTTCAGTAATAACTGTCTCTTACAGACATGTACCTAACTAGCAGTTCATTCCAGATATGCGGATAGCCATCTGGTAGTAGTAGTAGTCTGGTTCTAATTGCAAATATTTTTGCTACAGGGGTGTCAGCCATTAATTCACAAAATTTTATTTTCTAATTAATCTACTGATGATTTATGTCCAGTCATATTATACATATGTTTTATGTATGTCTAATAATGTTATTATCATATTTTATGTTTTTATATGTTCAGTCAAATTATAATGTTTTATGTATGTTTAATAATGTTCAGTCATATTATCATGCTTTACACGTTTATATGTTCAGTCATATTATACATATGTTTTATGTGTTTATATGTTCAGTCATATATATATATATTTTATGTACGTTTATATGTTCAGTCATATATATATATTTTATGTACGTTTATATGTTCAGTCATATTATCATGTTTTATGAATGTTTAATAATGCTCTTTCATTGTTCATTCTACTTTTCTCTAAAGAAAAAAAATAATTTCTTTTGGTGCAGTTACGTTAGTGCTTTATCAAAGGAAAGCCTTTTTAGATTATTGTAACTCTATGCACTAACTACTGCTATGTAGATTTTTTTATTTTTTGCACTTTTATGAGTTGGGTATTTTCTGTTTGACTAATTACAGTTATTTAACAATTTCTTTTTTCTTTATTGATACCTACCCATATCAACAAGAAGATAGCTCATGTGAGAAGTCTTTTAAAAATATTAGATTCTCAAATTAGAGAACTTGGTAGATAAAGGAAACTAGTTGTTGAAAGACAAACATGCTAACAAAGTAGAGATAATTAATCCATCAAACTCGATTTACGATCCACAATGACAATAATTTGACCTAATCAACAATAAAATCACCTCAAAATCTTACTTTAGATACCTAATGATTCCTTGAATCCCTCTTGCTCAACCTTTTAAGTAGGCAACGAAGGAAAAGCCTCTTTAAATTGAAACCATGACAACAGGACTGCTAAAACACAGTGGTAGTAACTCCTTTTGGTCATTTACAAAAGATCAGACATGCCAATGACCTTAAGGATAAGAAACATACATGTAGATACTTAATTTTTTCTACTGATGACATTGTCCTTAATGATTACATAGTATAAAAAGTTGCAGGATTCAAAAGCAGCAGTATAACATAGGGAAAAGTATACTGACCCTTGATGTACAGATAACCTCTCGAAGATTGATGTTCATCCAGTTGTCACAGCTGACCAAGTGACCATTGTAGGTTTCTCCATTTTTCAGCTCCACCAACTACAAAAAAGAAAAAAAAACATTTGGAGAAACATGTGTACCAAAGTAGTTCAGTGCACTTTACAGAAACAATAACAAATCTTGTAACAGTAAATCAAGAGAAAAGGATATGCCAAAGGCTCTTTCCAGTGCTATATGAACACACTTTACCCTTATATTACATTTCAGAAAGGTACTTTGTCTAAAGTTTTCATCAAATAATTGAAAATTTTTTTTGCTTCACTTTCATTAACTACTTTTAGGTAAAACATATTTAATTATTTCCTTTTCTTCCTATTAAGGTAATAAGCTTTACTTAATTATGAAAAACTTGTTTCTGTTTTCAATGTACATTTGTGTTCAAGTCTAATCATGATGCAAGTTTATATTAGCAGATTATATGATATATTAAATGAGTTTATACACAGTTTTGACAAATGAGAAAATCAGTTTTGAAAATATACACATATATATATATTATAATGTTGGGCACTGGTTGAAATAATAAGATCACTAATTGGTTCATCAGAACTGATAAATTATAATCAGTTAATGACATTTTCTTTGGAATTTTTTTCTATCTCTTAAAAACTTCACTGTCAAGGATAAATTTGTAAGAAAATAAACATAAAAAAATCATGGCTTAAACTTTGTTCAAGGATATCTTATCAATATCACTGGGTTTTATTTTTATACAGTATGATGTTCAAGTGATAAGTTTGTCCTAGTTTAATTTCAGGCAGAATGAATTCTAAGAACTGTTTCAGGCCTTTAATTTTCTAACAAAAGCTCAGCTTGGCCAGGTTTGGTGACTGTTAACCAGTGGGAACACCCATCTTAATTATGTTTGATTCACTACAAAAATATCTGGTTTTCATGAAATGAGGTTGTGAAACAAGGATATAATAAAATTATAAAAACAACATATCCTTCAAAAATAACACTGTAATTGGTTATAACTGATATTGCAAGATCATAATTGGTCACTTGGTTGTTAGTCTCTAAAGAACAATATTTGATTATTCTGACTGTTGCACCACTACATTGGTAAGTTGAATGATGATTTTATAATGCTAATCAGGTACAACTTAAAACTGGTAATAGGCAATACCACCAACTCTGGTACTCGTATGATACTAAACACCACAACAGTACCCTATAATGAAATTATTTTTTATATGTGGTGTCTCTTGTTCTATGTTTAACTCAACAATATTATGTACCATAAAACTTGTTATATAGAAACCAAAGTAAATTACTTACCATAGGGTGATTCTGAGCTGTTCGCAACAATGAAAGAGGCAGCTGAAAAGAAATGTTCCCATAAATACCTGTAACAAAACTGTCTAGAACAATGTATATAAGAAACTTCTACAAATGTTTTACCAAATAGTTATTGAATAATGAAATGTAATTGTCTTGGAGTACAAATGCAAGAAACAGAGTTGTAATAGATACTTGGTAGGTATTTACTTAATGACTGTTTATATGAATATTAGTTGAAATATTCATATTATTTGTCAGGAACAATATAAGGTAAAAATGTACTATACATATTAGGAAGTTAAATAAACTAAAGTCTTAAATGTACTATACGTATGAGGAAGTTAAACTAACATCTTAAATGTGCTATACATATTAGGAAGTTAAATAAACTAACATCTTAAATGTGCTATACATATGAGGAAATTAAACTAACATCTTAAATGTACTATACATATTAGGAAGTAAACTAACGTCTTAAATGTACTAGAAATTGCCAATGGTAATTAACAAATTGTGCAAGAACAGGAATTAAGTTGAATAATTTCTGTTTGTTTGACTGGGGAACTATGTAGAGAAATCAGATATCCAAATGACAGTTACACTTGTCCCAAGCAACTTAACTAGCATTAATGTCAAGGCCTAAAACAAAGTAAAAAAATTATCACTGTGACACCTGCTGACATTCACGTTGTAACATAGTACTTCTGGTAAGATTATGGAGAGTAACTGTTGTCTATATGATCATTTATATGTTAACACTAGTTAGTTTCTCATTTGTATTGTTATTATTATTAGATGCTAACTATCTATTAATTCATATCACATCTGTGATGCTAAACTGATGCAGTCTTCAGAAAATTCCTGAGAAGGCTAAGATTTAATTTTAGAAAGGCAAGTGTGCTGTCCACTTCTCAGGACTTCAATCAACTACCTGGATATTCAGGTTTTGCTGACTTTATTGTTAGCTTCGCTGAATATATTATAAATCTGATTTTTTAAAAGTATTATCACAATTTCAACATTATTTTATTGAACACAAACAGAATATTAAAATGCTCTATGCCTGTTAAACTTTTACCTTCCTAATGTTCAAGTTTACAAGAAACGTTATGGTGTTTTAGCTGTCTTATTGGGTCTTTAGATGGATTGGTGTGTGACCATATGATGTAACTTTATACACTTAACATGATCTTTGGAGGTTTTCAAGAGAGATCTTCAACACAGGGGAATATGACAACACGTCTAACTTTTCCATGTTTATTAAGAATGTGCCTAACTTTTTTCATGTTTACTGGTAACATGCCAAACTTTTTCCATGTTTATTGGCTACATGTCTAACTTTTTCCATGTTTATTGGCTACATGTCTAACTTTTTCCATGTTTATTGGCTACATGTCTAACTTTTTCCATGTTTATTGGCTACATGTCTAACTTTTTCCATGTTTATTGGCTACATGTCTAACTTTTTCCATGTTTATTGGCAACATGTCTAACTTTTCCATGTTTATTAACATGTCTAACCTTTTCCATGTTTATTGGCAGCATGTCTAACTTTTTCCATGTTTAATCTTGAAGTTTGTCTTCCTTAATCTCTTCTTTATCAAGTGTTCAGGGTATCCAATGTCAAGTAAGGTTGTAATGATGTGTCCAAATTATAAATATCCTTTATTCTGTAGGCTGAGCAGTCTATGACACCAGTCTTTAAACTGGGGATAGTTTGATATGCCTCGTTTATCATCACATCTAAGAATTTTAACTTTTAGTTCCATTATGAACTATAATGTCAGATGTCTCTTTGTGTGGCTATATTATCAATACATTGTTTGTTTTGTTTTTGAATTTCGCGCAAAGCTACACGAGGGCTATCTGCGCTAGCCGTCCCTAATTTAGCAGTGTAAGACTAGAGGGAAGGCAGCTAGTCATCACCACCCACCGATTATCAATACATATCCGAGTCAAATCCTGGGTTTTCAAGCTGTTATCTTCTAAATTTCTATGTATAGTTACTAAGTGCTGAGAACTAAGACTACACAAGCCTGTGGCTAGGAATTCTTATTTATGATAGTACTTTATGCTCAAAGTAAACTGTGCTGACACAGGAAGTTTTATTATTGTGGGGATTGTCAACTTGGTAACACATATCTAATAATAATTAAAATATGGTGATAATACAGGTTATTAATCATGACAGTGATTAAAAGAAAAGTTATACACACATGTAAATAAGAACTACTACACTGACTTTTGCTTTTATAAGTACAAATTACAACATTTAAAATATTTAAGGAATTGTCAGTAAATTTCTAAAATTTGCTGAAGATACTTAAGGTCTTAGGTGTTATTGGCTGAAAGGACAATGTGGCTGCTTTACAAATGGATTCATATCAGGGGACATAAACATACATTTTGGCAGAGTAAGAGTCATCTTTAATTAATATAACTATTTTTCTAACAGAGTGGTTGGCTTTAGGAGTAGGTTGTTTTCAGACGTGATGGATGTAATCTGTTTAAAAGAAGGCTTAATTATTAAAGTTAATAAACATCCAAGTGATAAAGACTGGCTTTGAGTGATTTTTATGTTTGTTTTAAAGTTTGGTAGAGTGGAGTGGGATGGTCTAGATTCTAGATGGACCAACAGACTAGACTTTAAATTTAATTTTTGATCCTCGGGAAGAACATGTTTCCCGTTCACTACGACTACGACTCAAGTATTACATTTACAAAATAAAATCCATCCATGCAATATCTGTTTACTCAGTTTTCTCTCTGCTTACTTCCACTGTGTATAATAGCAGTATCGACCAAAATAGACCTTAGATGTGTTGCATTAAATTTTTTGACGCGATTATTTTTTGCGCAAGTTTCCATCCTATCAAATGACATCAGAAATTTTCGCGCAAAATTTTGTCTCGTGGTACCCATTTCTCACGTAATAAAAAAAACCGCACAATCTGGTCAACATATTGTTGTCCTTGAATTTCATATCTAACTTCCCAGGGGTTAGATAGTTTACTAGTAACTTAGAGAATAATAACTAAAGAACAACAGAATGTTAGGTCTAACGTTAGGCTTAGCCCAGTATTGACTCCCATTCTCAGCTATAGGTACCGGCGTAAACCTTAAGAGTTAGACAACAATAGTCTAATTTCACATATATCATGGTTACACAATTAACAATCCAAAGGTCAATAAATATACACATTACATGTATGAACAATAAATACTTAAAACATAATGGAAAATTAGTTTAGTAGCTCATATTATTAAAACGTCACATACCATCGTTAAATTTCGACTGACTCTTATCTTACATAACGAAGTGTAGATGGCACGGCAGTCTTTCAATTTAAAAAAAAATGAAGAATTATATATATATATATATAAAATCTGCGAGCAAGAGATCTGAATATTTAAAAATATGATTTAATAAACAAAGATAAAATGTTAGAAATAAAATAGACGGTGCAGAACTTGTAAGGCATGTTATTTATTAGCGAAATAAATGATGTTATTTTCTTGGGCAAAGCTAAAAAATGGGCTATCTGCACTTTGTCCATCGCAGGGATTCAAACCCTGTGTTACGACAGCGGAAGTCACGTGACGCTTGTAACACATGATGAGTTTCTAGAACGATAGGGGAACATCACGAATAATCCAGTGTGTGCTAGACACCCTCTATTCCTGTATCTAAGCGCGCCAGATAAAGCGAGACAAATTAATCGGAACTGGAATAGCAGATAGAGAGATTGAAGATATAGACAAATAATCGAGTCAAGCCGTAAGTAAAGTGTGTAAATCATGGTGAATTATAGCGTGTGTTTAAGTTAAACTGATTGTGGAAATTAAGTGTACTGCAAAGTTGTATTGAGAAAGAATAAACTAGTTTTAATTAAGAAAGGACTTGTATCGTTGAAGTTTCTCGGAAATAATTTTTACGGGAAATTAACCAGAGACGTAACACCTGGATTTTTGAGCGTTGTAAGTCCGTCAATTTACCACTGACCATTCAGTGAATGAAGCACATGATAACGGAGTTACTGACAAATATTTCTTATCTTGCCAGTATTATATATTATATTTTCTTCTGTTTTCCTGAGGTATGTTTGCATTGCAAAGTAAAAACAACAATAACGTTTAATTTCACACAAATTGAATTGAAAATATATTGTCACCATGTGAGAATCCAATTTATATTTTATTTGTACTTTGGATTTTGTTTACTTCTTAGGTTATTTTCCTTCTATCATTTAGTTCAACTATATTTTTAAGTGCCTCAAAAATGCTAGCTTACCTGACACATAGTGTATATTAAATATTAAACGACTCATTTTTATATTAGGAAATCCCAGAGATCAGTACAAGTAACTGAAACGAGGTCTCCTCTAGCGGTGACGTATAGATACTAAGTTCATGTATGATTACATAAAACAAATTCTAATTTTAAAGGAAAAGATATAAAAAATAAAAATATTACACTTTAAAGACACAATTTGAACGAAATAGGAAAATATAAACTTTGAGTTAATTTTAATGATTATATTACTCTTTTTTTTTTTTCTACCACAGTTACCTCCTGTCATTCGCCATTCTGAAATCATACTTACTAAGGTTTTTGCTCTCAAGTTTAACAATTATGAATTACAGGAGAAAATTTATCCATCAGTTCTGTGTGACTCCAGTCTTCTCGGTGACGTATTCTTGTCCTGACAATATATCTTCTGGCATGGAGAAGCTCAACACTATGGTATGTATCACAACTTGATTTATTTACCGATGGCGATAAAACATGTTGAGTTTAAGAGCCCACTGATGGCAGCACCATGCGGCAGTATAATTAGTGGCGGTACCAGCACACGAACTGTATAAAGGCTAAAATCATAAATAATATATAACGTTAAACTGGTACACAATTTTATTTAGGCCTATCTATGGCCT